TTTTTTTTTTTTTTTTTTTGAACCGTCGCATCGATTTACTTGTGATTATAGGTGAACGGCGACGGGCCTGTGACCGCGCTACGATGGAAATGCACATTTTGCCATTTGTTGTCCCTCTTGTGCCATACGCGGCTCTCCTCGCTCTGGTGGGTGTGCGCTACTCCTTGTCTGGAAAAATATGCAATCGTATTTTTTCAAATTTATGGAAGTTTTCCGGATTTGTACGAGATTTGCAAACTAATTTTTTTAACGTAAGATCCAAATCCATTGTTGCGAACTTGTATCCAGTGTGATTGTTTATAGAAGATCTTATTCTAATAGATTTAATTTATGTTTAGATTATTATTACTTTATCTTATTTTATCGCGAGTCTTCATATTTATTTATATTAAATAATTATGAATAGCAAAAGATTAATAGGATGTATTGACATACTATAAATCTTTAGTGATGCCTTTTAATTTCTTTTACTCACTTGTCCATGTACTGTGTCAGCCTAACGTACGCGATGCACGCGGCATCTTCGCCAAGCAGGTGTACATGGGGATTCAGGATCGTCGTGTTCACGGCTTTGCAGTTTTTCCCCAAGACTGCTTAGATTGGAAAAGCAAAACGCTCGTTATTTGTGAATCTGTATGTTCATTTGTTGATCATAAGTATTATTTCAAAGCACATAAGATTAATAAAAGATTATATGAATAAATTCAATAAATTATTCTAATAGATTAAATATTATTATACTGAACGAACAAAATAAATATATTAAATTTTAATTAACATTCATTCATTCTTTGAATAAAAATTTTATTGTGAAAAAAAAAAAGAAATTTTGTGCATTCAATATTTATATTAATGAAAAGTGCAATAAGAAGCAGTATGGAATTAAGTTCGACGACAAATGCACCGATCGATCGGAAATTTTAACTCCTGGATAAAAACGTTTTAACGCCTGGCTTATGTCCCATCCACACGAATAAAAATGTAAATATTCGATTCTCGGACATAATACATCATGCAGCAATAGATTGGAACAAATCAAACGTAAATACAATTGTGCGTTTGTCAGCGCGATACGATTAACAGTGATGCAAATGAGTCATAATTACCATTATCAAAGTAAAATTTGTGGAAATCCATTCCCTCGACTAAATTACCTAGAGCCTCTGGCTCGAATGCAGTCAGATGTGGATCACAGATTTTCCTGGAAGCGTAAAAGATGTTAGAATCATCTGAATTATTTTACTTTAATTTCACTGAAACGCAGTGAAAACAGGATTGCATTGTTACTCGATTAACCTAAATTATTTTTAATTGAAAAAATAATTGATTACAATATTACGATATTTTCTCTTTGAATTACGATTTACATTATTTTTTATATTCATGGTATTCTCTGTTTGCATTATATTCCTGCTTTTACTATATTACCCTGTACATTTCGGCTCCTTTATAAATTTTTTCATTGAAATTTTGGTATCCTGATAATTCTTTTTACTGAAACTTCAGCAAAAATCTTTGTTTTTTCTTCCTTTTGAAATTTATTACCACTTACGTGTACGCCTCGAAATCTCCGGTGTTGATGCTTTCTATGAGTTGCTCAGTCATCTTGATGATCTCCTGACGGCGTGCTGGAATTGTCAATAGATTATTGATCAATGAAAACAGGACGATCGGCATGCCCGATCGATCAACGAAAAAAATAAATAAAACGATCAGGACTCATACCGACACATCGTACGGCACAACAATCACATGCACGAATCTTTATCAACTTCTACGTCCTACGCCAAAGACTCTCTTATTAATTAAAATACGTATATCATACATCAATGTATCACCCATTGGAGTCGTCTCAAAAATCAAAAAGTGACATTACCTTCGCACATCACATTCAACAATCTCTACCTTTTTCTCTAATCAAAAAATTCTACCATTCTATCAGACTCCAATGACACGCAATTCTCAAATGGTCATGAATAGATACATAACCTAAAAAATATCATTACATTTTCATTATCTTTACATATCTTTATCATTTTACGTTACTATTTATAATTTAAAGAAAAATAATTGCAATTAATTGAACACGAATTACTTCAATAGATGAAAAAAGACTATTCGAGAATCGATTTTTTTCATTCTTTATAAATTTTCTTTTCCCACTTGACAAATATCGATTTATGGAAAAAATATCCTTTACTGTAACGAGAGAACGAAGTCCTTATGACTTGAAACTAAAAATTACGACATCAGTGCCATCTAGTCAAGTGGAAGTGTATCGAACTGTTTCGTCGTTGCACACGTCGTTTGAATCAGTTATTTCGAGATTAAATTGTGATTTAGACCGTTTTCGAATCGTTCGACGCGACAACGACGAGGATTTAGTGATTTTGCTTAAAATTCTAATTATTTATTGTCGCTCGGACGACGAGAAAAAATGTGTTCGACGAATTCGAAATCGAGAAGAAGAAGATGTCGTTGTTCTCTCGTTGTTCGTGACTGCTTCTTGGATCCTTGAAGAATAATTCCTTGGTAAGTACCTCATTCTTTTCTCTTCTTTCGTATTACATTTTTTATTTGTACAAAAATCAATCCTTTAGATATTAATATTACGTGATACATTCCTATCTTTTTTCATCCGCCTATAAAATACAATCATAACTTTCGAACGTAAGGCGCGAAAATATTCAAACTATTTCGATTTCAATTATAAAAAAAACAGAAAAAAAAAAAAGAAAAATATCGTTCAACTTTTAATTCCTTGAATAGTGTTGGAAAAAATTGATAAATAAAATTACCAATAATCGGTCTTTCATATTGATTAATCTTCGAAATCATACGATGAAAAAAAACGAACGAATTTACATGTTTAATCCGGCGACCACCACCGTCAGCGTAACAGCACAGTGCCGTAACTATCTTACTGCGCACCACAGTGAGCGAAATAACAAATATGTACAATATATATTTGCGCAAAATTCATATGGCATGAAAATGAAAAATTTATTTTCACGCGTCCCGTTCTATACGGAAAGCGTTGCAACATGATTCTCTCCTCTCGTACAGCTACATCGGTGATTACCTCGATAGAGAGAAAAAGAGATATAGATATAGATATAGATGTAGATAGAAAAAAAGAGAAAGAAAGAAAGAGAGAGAGAGAGTTTTGAGTGAGAGTGAGATAGGTTCTTCCGTTACCTGAACACTGGGAGTTCGTCGAGAGCTGGCTGCAGGTCTTGATAGGACACACGATTCTTATTTCTACAAGCAATATATATATAATATATACATACATATATTTATATATAGATACCCTTTT